CATAATAGCAACAACGTCGAACGGAGTATGACTCATCATCTCACAAGGAAATTTAAAGGTGTTGGTCGAACCTCCCCTGAAGTAAATCGAAGCAATACAATCATGCTAGGATTTATCCTGTGAGTTGTTATAGCTAGTTGGATGGCGTCGAAAATATACCGTCCTTCTTCCATTTTGTTTCCTTATTCACTTGCACTTTATTGAGCCACACAAGCCAATCCTTGTTACCAGGAGTAGGCATGGATCAAAAAATCCTAGTGGGTTTCATAAATTTCACGCTGAGAGGACATTTTTCATAGACAAATGTGAAAGGAGGAGAAAAACAAGGAAAGTATCGTTGTACCTTGTGAGGGTGAGACCTTGCATCTAGATACAGTCCATGAAATGCGAAGAGCTTTTCATTCACTATGAAAGGTATAAGCATCTTCTTCTGTTATTTTAAATGCATAAGTAGAAGGTGGCTGAGGAATATCTTGTAAACCTTCTTCTTCTGTGAGAGTTAAAGCTATGAGGTTATTACCTGTGTTCAGCTGGTTTAGAGCAGAAGAGGCCATGGCAGCATCGCATAGAAGAGAAAGAAACAAATGAAGAGTTTTCTATGTGTAGAAGGTTGTAGGAAAATAGGTTCGTGAAGGAAGAAGAAGAAAGGAAAATAAGCATGAAAGGTTATTTATAGACCTATTGAAGTCGTCGATGATAGACAGGTGGCAACCGCTTGTGAAATTTTGATTTTCATGAAATTTAGAAATGAAAGAGTTAGTAAGGTTTGTTAGAACCCAACAGCCTAGAAATTAGGAGCCATCATGAGAAATGATGGAATGACGCTGGGAATAGTGGCGTAGAAAGTGGTCATCATGACGAATGACGTCAACTGAGTAGATAAATGGTCGAAAATTCAAAAAGAAGGAAAATGAAAAAATTCTCAATTGACACAACCTCCGTCTAAATTGGCATTTTGGGGAGCAATTTGTTAGTCACTGATTTTCGACTAAGGAAATTGATTATAAGCTAAGGATCATCACTAAAGGAAAAGTACTTTCGACACAACCCATGATGAGACAAGAGGAGTCGACAGGTTACAAAGGAAAAGTCCCTTTGAGACTTAACGAAAATTCATGATGTTGAAGCCAGGTCGATGAAGTCCAATTAAATGCGAAAACATTTAACATTGAAGCAGTGTCATCGACGATTACCAATAGAACTTGGAAAGGCTCAAAAGGCAGTTTTATCACAAACTTCGAACGCGGTTATATAATACCCGTCGAATGTGTAGGATAACAATTACTTTTGTTTGTTTATTTAAGCAAGTTTTTTCATTCATGTCAATAGTCGTGTTTTGTAACATTGTAAGAAAGAACTCAAAGTACCCCCATCAAGAGAGAAACGAGTCACTTCTGAGAAATGTATGCGTGCGTCCACCTTTAACTCAAAGTAATTTATTTCAAGTTTTTTTATCTTGTTTATCATTTTTACCTTACAAATTTGTCTTTTTTTTTTATTTACCGTTTTCTATTTCGGTTCATACTTTACCCATTTCTTATCCCAAAATACCATATCAAACTTAACACTAAATCTAGGACTCTTGTAGTCGGTCTTACAAGTAACCTTTAAGTAAGAGACTAGAGATTGTTTGTGAGAAACGCTTGCGAACAACTTCCACTTTCATTCCCATAATTGTATTCGGGTATAGTATAAGGGATATGAGTCGATCGCATGTTTAACTCATCGAGATTAGTTTAGAGTTTTGTTCTTGATTTCTATATTGATAGAAATTATAAAATTATGAACATATCTAATAAGTGGTATCAAAACCATTCATATCTAATTCAATTTGAATTTGTAATTTTATTTATTTATTTTGAATTTCGAAATTGAATTTTTTATTTATTTGAATAACTCAAAATGATTTGGTTGATTTTTATATTTACTGTAATCATACTTTTATGTATGGAGTTTATCATGCATAACAATACACTAAAGTATATATTGCTTTTGCACTACGTTATATATTTCATTATCATCCACATCAATTTTGGATATATCATGCATAACAATATACTAAAGTATAATGGTGTTTTTGATTTTGATTTTGATTTGATATTTATTTTTGAATTTTAATTTAATTTTGATTTTCTGGTATAAATGTATAAGGTGCACTAAAGTGTACTAGTGTTTCTTGTTTTGGATTTAATTTAAAATTTTTTTGGTTTAATTTTATTTAAATTTTGTTAGGATAGTATTTTTTTTTATGCAGTCATTTAACTTGTTTTTTAAGTGAATAATTGAAATAAAAAATCTGCTAAAGTGATCTCTTTTATAAAAATTATTTAAAAAAAATCTGATTTGTATATATATTTATCCATACAATTATCATTTGACCCAAAAATTAATTAGTGGTGTTCTGATTTTCATACGCAAATGTGATGGTAAATATGTGATAATTATAAGAGTTCACATGTAAATAATAAATCAATTCAAAGATGAGTTTATATTTGACATATTTATTATTATTATTATTATTATTATTATTATTATTATTATTATTATTATTATTATTATTATTATTATTATTATTATTATCAATGTTTAACCGTTACAACAAGAGTACCATTAGTCGTGAGTAATAGTGTACAAATACTCAATATTGATGGTGCATTAAGTATCTTGAGATAAATTATGTCTTTATTTGAACAAATTGATAATTCAGTTTTCTTTTATTTGAGTATATTTAAATGTTTAATTTTATTGTTCTTTTCCAGTTACAATTGCTTCAATATCTGCTAATTTGAATTCGGTTATGGGCTTTAATAGGACAAATTTCAAGGATTGGAAAGAGAACATAGAAATTGTTCCTAGTCACATGGATCTTGACCTTACATGAAGAAATGAGCAATATTTTTCTCCTACAGAATCTACTACCTCTGAATAGAGAAAATATTATGAGAAGTGAGATCACTCCAATCGCATGTGTCTCATGATTATTAAGCGCGGAGGTCTTTAGAGGTATTATATTAGAAGATATAACTAATAGAAAAGATTTTCTTATTGAGATTGAAAAGCGCTTTAAGAAAGTGATAAGGCAAAAATAAATACTCTTCTTCAAAACTTAATTTCCATAAAGTATCAAAGACAAAAGACGTGTACTAATGTTTCCTTTTCTTATTTACGAGATTTTATTGATATATCTGAAAGTAATGATGATTGCATATACTCCATGGTCATTAATTTGATGTTTCAAATTGTATATCTCTTGATGTAGATGAAATATTTTTCACCTATAGCCTTTGATTTATTTTGTTCCTAATTTTATGTCATTCTAATGTTATTGGTAATGTTGATATTGTTTTATGATTTGTATAGGGAGTCCCATAACTTCCTTTCCATTTTACAAAGGATTTCAGAAATACATTACCAAATTTTGTTACCTTGCATGAGTTTCTACTCTTTTCTCATAATATAATAAAATGTAATAGACATGTGTGTTGTACGGGTTAAAAGTATAATTTTAATTAAATATTTTTATAATATAAAAAAATATAATAAACATGTGCATTGCACAAGTTAACATACAGATCAAAAGTCTAATGATGTTCAAAATGACATGATATTGATAAATATGATAAAAATAGTTAACCTTGTTATATTTATACAATTAAATTCTTTTTACTTATAATTGAGACAGAAAAATTATGATTGTTTTTTTAATATAACTATTTGAATGTTAAGTGGAACACAAAACGAGTTTTAAGGGGGATTATGGAATATCAATTTGTGGTGATATATTTAAGATTAATTTAAGAATATTTTTGGAAGCTTTCTCAATCAAAATTGGAATTTACATCTCCTTTCAAGTTGAATTGTATAAAATTATGTTTGCTATCGAATATACTAATAGGAAGAATTGAAGAAATCTTTTACTTGAAATTGATTCAATACATTTATGCATTTTCTAATCTGAATATTATTCTTTAACATCTTTTAATTACATGAAAGAATACATTACACATTATAGATTCCTTTAAATTCAAAATATATCATATTTTTAGAGAAAAATTTATATGTTTATAGATTAATTAATGCAAGTTCTTTTATTGTAATAAATGGTATAATTCACTTCCTATTTGTATTTAAAAGATTTTTTTGAGAGATATATTAAACATGTCTAAATATCATTTTTGCTAGCTTTTTCATGGGTTTGATTTTATGCTCCATCATCTTTTTTTTTTTGTTTTTCTTTTTTTATTAAAAAAAAAAACTATTTGTATCTTGAGAGTGAGTCTAAACTTATAATTTTTTAATTCTTAATTTATATTTTGATTCTTGTTGTTTATTACTATTCTCTTAATTATTTTTAAAATTGATCTATATACTATATAATATGTAGAATATATGATTTCAATTGATATAAAATTAATTAAATTAAAATTAAAATAAATACCACACGTATTATAAGTATTATTTCAATGTTAATACATTTTATAAGATGTTTTTGGTTAAATCAAAACAACATGAATGAAAAAAAGAAATGATCGTTTATTTGCAAGGTTAAAAAGGATAATAAATTACAACAATTAGAAGAAAAAAATTTTCCAAGAATAAAATTTTTTTATTGATGAAACTTGTAATTATTTCACATTATTTATTTCTTAATTAATTAATATTCTCCTTATGTAGCCAAAAGAAAGAATTATATCCATTCACCTTAAGTAACCAAAAAAAGAATTATTATATTTTTATCAAAAAAAAAGAAAGAAAGAATTATATTCACCTTATTTTACCATATTATCATTACTATATTTTCTTTTTCAAATATTGTTGTTTACTCTCAAGACATAGTGGGATAATTAATTAATATAATACTACTATACAATTTGCAATGTAACGGCTAGTAATTAAGCCTATACAAATGTCACATTCAAAATTTGAATCACAAAACCAACGTTCTTCAGATATTCCCCTGAACAGAAGAAGAAGAAGAAAAGGACGAAGCTTCAACAACAATGGCGGAGTGTGAAATCCAGAAGATAGATCCAGAGACAGAGTTTCTATCATCAAAGAGAGAAACCGGAAACGAATGGGAAATCTTCAAAGAAAACGTCAGACCGTTGAAACGAGGCCGAAATGTTAACATTCTCAATCTCGCTCTCAAGTCTCAGACCGATAACCACCTCAAGAAATCCCTAATTCACCAGCGAAGGTCCGTCTCTAACTGTCTCTTTCTCTCGCTTTATTCTTCACCCACTTTATTGATTTTTCGTCATACAGAAAATTTGTCGAAACAATCCATGATTACAAAGGCCAAGATCCTCTTTTCCCTTGGATACAGTAAGTATCCCTTTACTATTATTAGATGCATCTTAATTTTCCATACAATTTTTAATTTTAGGGTTCATTTTTTAGAATATTTATATGGTTCTACAAGTTTAGGACCAAATTGGATATTTAGGTTTCCACACATAAAATGAAATGAATTTTGAATTTTTTTTCTAATTTTTTTTATTGATGATGGTGAAGGTGTATGAAGTGGGTTCAGGAAGCGTTTCCTCCGGGTGGAGATAGCTCGGGTTTGGTGGTGATTTATGAGCAATGTGTGCGTGCTTTTTGGCATTCGGAACAGTATAAGGATGATTTGCGCTATCTCAAAGTGTGGCTTGAATATGTAGGGTTTTTGAGTTTTAATTTTGTTTGGTGATTTGGTGCTGTGATTTTGTGCGGTGAGTTTATAAGAGGTGTTGTTTTTGTTGGTGCAGGCAGATAATTGTTATGATAAGGAGGTTATATATGGTTTTCTGGATGCAAATGGAATTGGAAAAACTCATTCTGATTTCTACATTTCATATGCTTTGCATTTGGAATCTAAGAACAAGTTTAAAGCTGCTAACCAGATATTTGAACTTGGTGTATCTAGGTATTTGAACTTGGCCTATCAGATATTTAGAGCTGCTAACCTTATATATTGTTATTGTGTATACCTGTTGAATTATTACATGTTCTTCTACTAGTAAAATCATCCTGAGTTCATAAACTAGAAAGTGTGTCTATAATAGGAGCATATAATATAGTTGTTCGCGATTCATGTCTATGTGGTTTCCATTTATACAAATCCGGAAAGGGAACTACGTTGATGCATTTTCCCCTCCCTTTTGATGGTATGGTATGTTATGATCTAGTAATATACATAGTAAGTTAACCTTAAACTTTTATGTGTTCAAAATCTTTACAAGTTGGGAGTCATCATTCATATAAGTTTACTTTAAACTTTTAAACGTTCAAGTCTTTGCAAACTTTTAAACGTTCAAGTCTTTGCAAACTTGCTCAACCCATTCATTTTGTTGACAACCATTTTTGCAGGAATGCTCAACCCATTGAAAAATTGAAAGCTGCTTACAGAAAATTTCTTGTACGCTCAATGTCAAGGACTAATGCTATAGATGTATGTGATGTTCTAATTAGTATCTTTTCCAAACTGATAAAATGTTATAATGATATATGGTCTATATACTGTGTTGTTGTCTGACCCCTCAGTTCTTTGACTACTTAGGAACCGCTGGAAAAACAGGCACCTGTGCGTAGCTTTGGAACTCTTCTTGCCAAAGGAGAAAACAGTGAGCCCCTCACTTCTTTATTTCTCTCTTCACATTACTTTTTGTCTCAAACTTTTTGAATTCAGAACATTTTTCCCATGCTGTAGGTAACAGGTTGACCTCTTTGAACAGTGATCGTTCTTCTAAAAATGATAGGTAACAACACTAAATAGTGCTGTATCTTTGCATTTATCGAGTTGGGCCTACTTATATTTTCTTATCTTGTTTTTTGGATCCTTATTTTTACCTTTTCTAATCGCCTACTCATACTATGCACTATGCAGTATAGATGAGTTATGAATTTCTAAGACCATATGTAAATTGGACCTTGGAAATGTCAAACTCTAAAATCATGAAATCCTCTCTAGGTATTCATTTCAGAGAAATGAAGGTTCTAACGTTTTGTTGATATTTTCATTATTAAATCTTGTAGGACTCGAGCAGCTCCACTTTCCATTTATAAAGATTCAAATGCCGGTGGTGAGGCTTCCTCACGTCAGCCAGACATGTCACACTCTTGGCGCAACCTTGGAGCTCGAGCTGAACGAAACAAGGAAAACAACGCAATTCCTGCCAAATGGAAATCGTACAAGGTGCTGACTTTTCATTTTGTCCACTTCACTTATTTGCCTACTTTTGTATTCCTCATTGCTAAATATCCCGGTTTCTTAATCCTTTCAGGTTCCACAGCGACCGGGGACTAGAACTGCAGTGGCAAGTGCAAGTGCCTGCATTCCGGTGTTCGTTGATGAAGAATGTCAAGGGTAAGTAGAATCATTTAACATGGAGCTTTGTCCCAAATCTCAATTTTTCAAATTGCAACCTCCATAGCACACTTGTACACCTACTCTGACTGTATATGTGGAGTTTTCTCTGAGTTATATTGGTGATCCTACATGTTTTACAGTTCACCGAGTATGAAAGCAGAGGGTAAGGGTAAGTCCAAAAGTTTGAAGATTAGGCAAGAAGACGAAAAGGACTTAAAAAGGTAATCGCTATTCACTTTCACCTGACAATTTCCCTTTGATACCAGAAATCAGTAACGTGACACATTCATATATATTGTTTGTTTTCTGCAGAGAAGCAGAGTTACTAAGGAAGAATCCCTTACGCAACTTTCCACATACCAGCCTCCCCAGATAATTGAAATTTCTCTCAAATGTCATTGCCATTTGCAGACCACGCTATCTTTTTCTGTAACAATTTGTGGGTTAGCTTTTCTCTAGAAAGCTTGACTACACACCATGTATCTTTTGTTTGGTATCGGAAATACGAGTTTGTTTGATTTGATGAAAGTTTAGGTTGTACCTCAGCCTGTTTGTTGTACTTTGTATGAATAACCATGAGAATTTGTATTGAGAAAGCATATCTCCAATTCTTTTTAGAATGATTTGTATTGAGAAATTTGAAAGAAAAAAAATTGTATTGTTTTTCCCTTGCATTCATTCTATAGTGCAACATATGTGTGCAACATATACTCAAATGTAATTTTAACCCTTCATATTAGACCCTCGCAAGTCGCAACGATTGCCATTAGTTATGCCCATACAAAGATGCATCTGGACCTAATAACTGGGCGTTTTGTCCATCATCCAAGTATCATCAACATACAAGCCTGTGACCGAGACATGGGAATTGCTCAATCAAGGAATAATATTTGATGGTCATGATGATAAAATAATCTAACAAATACTAATTAATTGACCAAACTACCAAATTTGCCCTTTCATCTAAAAAAAATTACACTATAAATTGGACAATTTGGTAACTAAAATTAAAAACCATGTGTCCCAAGTATCCGCTTGTGATTGATCCAAATTAAAATACAATATTTCTCTCCATCCCAACCTTACACTCAACTCAAACACATACTCTTTCTTACTTGCTCTACTCATCCACTTTCTCTCGTCTTCTCTCTCTTTTCCCTCAAACCCTACCTCCCCAGCCATATCTACTACCACTACCCCCTCCAATGGAAAAACCAAAACCATTTTCGTAATCCTCATCTCAAAACCGTTTTCGTAAACTATTTTTTATGGGCCATTGTTGGGTTGGTTTTTACAGATCTGGAGATCTTGAGAACAAAGGACATGAGTTGCAAAGGGAACATTTACGCCTTCAAGTGGAGCGAGCTCTACACTTCAACATTTGGTAAGTAACATCTACTCCTTCATCGATTTTCATAAATGATATTGGCACTGTCTGATTAACACTGATTTTGAAATTGACATTTCAGATGGAAGCCATTCCTATAAATTTTGTCAGCAGGAGAAAAACATTGGTGAGTTGGTTCACTGGTTATCACACTACTTATTGCTTACTCTATCTCTAACCTAATATCTTTTGAGATTCATAATAAGTTTTTATATATTCCACCGACAGTTATGGAAATGAATTTGATGCTGTAAGTTAATGCACAGTTAAGGCTCTTGATCATTGATGAATATCACACCATTGTAGAAGAAGCTAGGGTAGCAGTTTGAGTGAGGATCACTTGAGCACTGACATTCTTATTGGTGAAATACATCATCAAAATTTAAGTTATTTTGGCTTGCATTCACTATATTAGAGAGTAAATTAAGTTTAAATTATCTTAGCTTCAATTTTAAGCAAATAGCTGCTTCTGTTAAGTTAGTTGAAATTGTTAGGATTAGTTACATGATTCTGTTTTTGTTGATTTGCAAATACTTGATTTTTTGTTGTCTTGGTGGCTGTGATTTAAAGAGTATTCCTGATGTAAGCATATTTAAGAGGCTTATGGTTTTTGATGTTTCTTTCAACGAAATTGCTTTGATTTATGGTGTATATAGGGTTTGTAATACACCCAAGGAGCTCTATGTATCCAAAAATGAAGATACTAAATTTGAGGATATCACTCACTTTCATCGATTGCAGATTTTGGAACTCGACTCCAATAAATTACGAGTTAATTAGTTTATTATATTGTGCGTGTCAATGTGACGGTGTTAAATAACTGTTTAGATTAAGAGTTTTAGCATGTTTTGACATTTTAACAATTCCAATACAACATTGAACACTTATTTGTTAACATTTTATACTTCATTTTGTTGAATAAATGGTTAACGTCTTACTATATCGATGATTTTTGTGGTTAGTTGGTTGGAAGATGCAAGGCAGCATGCAAATACAAATATGACAATTATGCTGATTGGAAACAAGTGTGATCTTGTTCACAGACGGGTCGTAAGCATTGAAGGTGAAAATTTTGCAAAAGAGCATGGGTTGATCTTCATGGAGGCCTCAGCAAAACTGCTATTGACATGATATTGGCATATGTATTTCATGTTTAATGGCTTTCTTTTTCTATGTGATTTACATCACAAGGCGCCCCTTCACAACTTAAATTTGCCATGAAAGGTAGTTGTGACAAAAACAAAGAAGGACATGTGAAATAGACAGCGAAATGGGCTTCTGATGTGGTTAACAATGTTACATATCAAAGAGATGGAGCACGGGGATATTGATAGTGAGATAGGCCTCTGCATGGTGTTCTGAGGAATGAACTAGAAGAGCGTGTTGGGGGGAGATACTAGGAGCATCGATGCATAGTGTAGGAACAAACACCTTTGAGAGAGATACACCACTTCTCCACCTAAAATCTTAAGGTTATAGGTGAGTGAGTTCTTCCACTTATATATGCTTAAATCTCCACATTTTTCCCACTTACTCACACTTGCTATATTATTCCAACACTCCCCCTCAAGTGTGAGTCCACAATGCTCCCTCACTTGTACCGCCATTGACATCTTACAACGAAACACCACTTCATGGGCGCATTTCGATACAAGTCTCTTTCGATCCCTTTCTCAAACCAAATGCTCATGATACCATGTTGGGGGAGATTATTAAGAGCATTGATGCATAATGTAGAAACAAGCACCTTTGAGAGAGACACACCACTTCTCCACCTAAAACCTTAAGGTTTTAGGTGGAGAAGTGACATATCTCTCTCAAATGTGCTTGTTCCTACACTATGCATCGATGCTCCTAGTATCTCCCCCCCAACAGAGCATTCTTACCAGCAAACGAGCTTAAGAAGCGATTTGATCAAGAAAGTTTGAACATCTCCTTTCAATGTGTTTTCACATTGCTGAAATAATTTTCTTCTCGAGTGCTGCTGTTACAAATTCTAATCATTCTGCAGGCATCTCTTTGAAAAAGTCAGATGTGGCTTCGTGTGGAACTGGAGTAACCTCATGCATTCTTGCATTGGTATTGCCATATCTCTTCTCTAAGCCTATGTTTTACAGTATTGGCATTGCTCAGGTTCCTAATCTTGAGTCAAAGCATTTCTAACTTGATTTCATGCATCCTGCTGTGTTCAAGGTATTTCTTTGAATTTTGTATGGATGGTTCAGTATAATTATAAAGATTAACATTAACCTTAAAACTAAATTATTCTTGTCATTCACTAGAGTCCATAATTTTTTTCTTACATGTAATTTATCTGCAATGGGAGGATCTCATCTTAAATGAACAAATCCTCAATTTGGCCATCCATAATTACTCATCACAATGAGTAATCCAAAATAATTGTTACCAATTCTGATAGGACGGCCTCTAAATTTCATTCCTTTAAAGATCTACATTCGAGGCACATTAGCCTTGTATATAAAATTTAAAATAAAAGGGTTCCTTTTTCTGAGTTATGTTAAAGTTGATAGTTGTAACATAGCTTGGCCAAACTCTAAATTAAGCTAACTCTATGAAATAAGACATATAAAACCAGCTAAAGCTGGGAGGTCCACTTTTAAATCACTTTCTTAAATATCCATCTTAGTTGGAGCCCAAACTTAAGAGATATTAGTAACATAATAACTAAAAGTAGAACTCTAAATTTTCATGTTAACTATAATTGCAGTTTGATATTGTTGTTGAGGCTACCACATCAAGAATACTTTCTGGGCCGTAATTGCAAGACAATGAATTATCAGTTTCTTATAGCTCATATTTTCACTTTCACTACATTTGTAGGAAGCTTAATTGAGCAACTTATTTTATAATAGGTTATCTATCATGAATCAGTGGAAAGCCAAATGTAACACTTGACACACAACTTTATCAGCTGCTGGAGATAATTTTGTTGGTAGAGTTATTGTGTTGTGAAGGTAGAGAAAAACACTAGAAAGGAGAGATTTAAATTGAATTTTAAGAAAATATTCCCCTTTAGAAAATTATTTGATTGAACTATGTAAGAATATAAAATGCAATAAATATAAAGAGACACATTTAGTTATCCAGGTTCACCGTTAACTAAGCTACTCATGTCCACCCTCCTTAGTTGATTTTGTCTTAACAAGGACTTAATCTACTATAAACAAATTGATTATAGATGTACGGGCTACCTGTCGTTGACTAACAATCAATCAATGATCAACAACCATTGACCCCTTAAGAAATTTGGCCTACTCGGTCTTTCTTAATAGAATTTCACAATGACCCGCAACCATTGTCATCTTGAGTCATCTGGCCAATACTAGTCACTCAAGGAACAACACAATGATACATTCAGTGATCTCCACGAGATATAATGATCATTGACCCTATTATAAATATGATCAACTTGATCTTTCTATGAGGGATTTCTCACAATGATCCTCAACCATTTATCTCTTAAGAATTCTGACCTTTCTGGTCTCCTAAGAGATATAGCGATCATTGACTCCATAAGATTTCTTACCTTCCTGGTCCCCTATGAGATATATCGATCATTGACCCCATAAGGTTTATGACCAAACTGATCCCTTAGAATAGAATTTCATCTACGATGACCACAACTAACGTCTTCTCAAGTCTTTTGATCTTCACTTAATCACTTAGGAACCAACCAATTCTAAACAAAATTGTTTTTCTGGAGATTACATGAGGGCTTCTTATCAAGCAGATTACTCCTACTTTAAGTACATATTGTTTGACATAATTCTGAGCAACATTTCTTGTGTACAAACAATTTACATGAAGATCTTAAGAAATAACACAATCTGAGCAACAACTATTGTGTTTTAAATATTTCTACAAAGATGAATATAATCTAAGTTAAGTGCAACATCTTGTCTTCATCTTCTTCATTGAGCAAACTATGAGCAGTAACTCCTTGCTTCTTCATAATTCTGCCAAGATGTATATGATTGATAGTTTGAATGACATCTTGTAGACTTCTTCATCTTCATCTTCTTCATTAAGCAAGGTATGAGCAACAACTCCTTGCTTTTTCATGATTCTGCCAAGATGTATATGATTGGCAATTCGAATAACATCTTGTAGAATTCTTCTTCATCATCTTATTTGGTTAGCTTCAGCATGTTCAACGTAACAACTCCAACAACGTCTGTATCCATGGTTTTCCAATAACTTTTCTTCATTTCATATTCTCCTTTTATAGCCTTCAAATAAAAGAGTCGTTGGAAGGATAAAGAAGTCTTTTCTCTTTCCAACGGTTGATTTCCAACGGATATATTCAAGAGAGATTTGGAACAGTACGAAACGTCACTTTCCTATACCCGTTGTTTGCAGTAGATAGCGTACGTTAGTGGGAGAACAACTTTTTAAAATAATATCATCATTGTACTATTTTTTTTCTTGACTAAGTTTCTTGACCTTTATCTTCTGATGACGTACTACTGATTTTAAAGTATTAAGCTTGGAAGAGATCAATCTCTTGTCTTCATTCTACTGGTGACTGTTTGATGAAGAGTTCAGAAATTACTTTGTTGTTGTAGCATAGGAACATGATCGCGACTTTAGTAGTCTAAATAATCTGGACTGCAAGTGCAAAGTCTTATCACATAGTTTTAAAGATTATCGAACCCAAAGGACCAAAAGTCAAACGTATCGTTATCTAATATTACGATGTAAATCTAAGGCTAAAAATATTTGGTTTAGATTAAGTGAACTAAAAGTAAGTTTAAATCTTATTAAATAATCAGAGGGGGAAACAACTAGTATGTAATGATCAGACTTCGGGAATTAGTAACCTATTCGGTAATTCACAGTTTCAAACAATCCTCGGTAGAAATTTATCAGTTTAAAAACCCTCGTCTCACATTGTCGTGGTTATTGGTTTGGGCTATGCAGTTAAGTCCTAACGTATGCTCTCGCTATCCTGCCGGAGTAAAAAACATTTTTTGAAAACAAATAAACTCTAATTAGCGTTAAAGCGCTCTCGCTGTTTTTAAAGTCAATGCCTAATTAATACTGTCCAGTTAAAGATCCTCAAACTCTCGCTTTATTGAACCTAACTTCTATTTGTTTTTTATTCTCATAACAAAACAGTTTATCATTTAAAAATTGTCATTTAGACCAGAAAATAGTTTAACAAATAAATAACCAATAGTATTACCAAATTCCCTCAGTTATATGACTCAATCACAGAATAATACAAGCCAGACAACAAAGTAAACATGATTATTGAATTAAAGACAAATAATAATTTATTAAAATAAAAACTTGAAAATAAATATGACTGGAAACTGGTAACAATTAGTCCGGCTCTAACGAGAAGCACTCCTCCACAGGTTGGTAGATTTCGCTTTGCTCCAGAACAGAAACAATTGCAAAGAAATAAAAATAATAAACCTAAACGAAAATTTTAAAGGTCTTAAAACAAACCACAGGGCAATAGATTTCCGGTGTAGAAATCTATTGCTTAAATGAGTTGGGAAAATAATATTGCTTAAAACTAAGAAAAATAAGAATTTTGGAAAATAATAATTCAGGAAAATATGCACGAAAAGAAAGGCAAAACGGAGGACCCCAGCTCAGTGTGTGAAGCCTTCTATTTATAGTAATCTTGAATAACTGCATGTGAGAGATTGTAGGAGGTACGTGGTTGTTGGATCTCTACATAGCTGACTTAGTGGAAACGTGAATATAGCAAGTGCGTTGAGATATTTTCGTTGCAAGCTTGAAGTACGTGGTCAAAATAATAGGAGAACGTGGGCTGTCGTTCGTCAAGGCCCAAGTGACGTTCATCACTTGGTCAAGCACCCTGCCGATCGTCACGGATGTGTGACGTTCGTCACAAGCTGCTTTCAAGTGGGTCACGCGCTTCTTTCCTTTTTGGGCTTGGGCTGATGCTTTATTTCTTATATCCTTTGGCTCTTCTTTTTGTACCCCTTTTCTTCTTTTTCTCAGAAAAGCTTTAATTAATTTAATACCTGCAAAATAGTCAAAGACCAGCATAATACCAACTACAAAGCAATTTAATTTAGATTAAAATGAAAAATAATTTAAGTAAATCAAGCTAAATATGCAATACATTTATGTGTTATCAAACTCCCTCATACTTGAATCTTTGCTTGTCCTCAAGCAAGTGCTCAGTACGATGTTTGTCTAAACATTGGTCAGATGCAAATATATGACACAAATCAACTTGTACGTGGTTGCATGGTGTTTTTGTTAGAGAGTAAAAAACTTAATCTATACTCCAGCACTACGGTAACGACACTAGACAATCTCATCTTATGTAAACCGTAGTGTTGGGATTGTCTAGTGTCGTTACCGTAGTGCTGAAGTATAGATTAAACTTTTGATTCTCTAACAAAAACACCATGCAACCACGTACAAGTTGATTTGTGTCGTACATTTGGATCTGACCAATGTTTAGACAAACATCGTACTGAGCACTTGCTTGAGGACAAGCAAAGATTCAAGTATGGGAGAGTTTGATAACACATAAATGTATTGCATATTTAACTTGATTTACTTAAATTATTTTCCATTTTAATCTAAATTAAATTGCTTTGTAGTTGGTATTATGCTGGTATTTGACTATTTTGCTGGTATTAAATTAATTAAAGCTTTTGTGAGAAAAAGAAGAAAATGGGTACAAAAAGAAGAGCCAAATGATAAAAGAAACAAAGCATCAGCCCAAGCCCAAAAAGGAAAGAAGCACGTGGCCCACTTGAAAGCAGCTTGTGAAGAACGTCACATGTCCATGACGATCGGCAGGGTGCTTGACCAAGTGACGAACGTCACTTGGGCCTTGACGAACGACAACCCACGTTCTCCTATTATTTTGACCACGTACTTCAAGCTTGCAACAAAAATATCTCAATGCACTTGCTATATTCACGTTTCCACTAAGTCAGCTACGTAGAGATCCAACAGCCACGTATCTCCTACAATATCTCACATGCAGTTATTCAAGACCACTATAAATAGAAGGCTTCACACACTGAGTTGGGGTCCTCCGTTTTTCCTTTCTTTTCGTGCACATTTTCTAGAATTTTTATTTTCCTTAGTTTTAAGCATTATTATTTTCCCAACTCATTTAAGCAATAGATTTCTACACTGGAAATCTATTGCCCCGTAGTTTGTTTCAAGACCTTTAGAATTTTCGTTTATGTTTATTATTTTTTATTTCTTTGCAATTGTTTCTGTTCCAGATCAAATAAAAACCTATCAACCTGTGGAGGAGCGCTTCTCGTTAGAGCCGGACTAATTGTTACCAGTTTCCAGTCATATTTATTTTCAGGTTTTTATTTTAATAAATTATTATTTGCCTTTAATTCAATAATCATGTTTACTTTGTTGTCTGACTTGTATTATTCTGTGATTGAGTTTTATAACATGCTAGGCTAGATTTCTATACCGGTATGTAAGGTCATATACCTGAGGGAATTTGGTAATACTATTGGTTAACTATTTTCTGGTCTAAATTACTATTTTTAAATGATAAATTGTTTTGTTATAAGAGTAAAAGACAAATAGAAGTTAGGTTCAATAAAGCGAGAGTTTGAGGATCTTTAACTAGACAGTAGTAATTAGGCATTGACTTTAAAAACAACGAGAGCGCTTTAAGGCTAATTAGAGTTTATTTGTTTTCAAAAAATGTTTTTAACTCCGACGGGATAGCGAGAGCATACGTTAGGACTTAACTTCATAGCCCGAATCAATAACCACGACAGTGTG